TTGGTGACATAAGCATAAAATGTTCATTATTGGTGAACATTTTGGTGCACTTTTCATTTAAATATTCAAATGTTTAATATTTTTATTTTAAATACCAAATCCTTGGTTTGAAAAGAATATCCCTATACATTTCGCAATTTGTAATTCTTATTACCAGTCTAGACTTAAAAGCAAATAAATAGATAATAACTTTATATTTTATAGGATTTATCAATGGATGACACGGAAGTTCCCGTCCATAATAATATTGAATCACAATTTACAAAACAATTGTGTCGTGGAGTGAGTCTATTGAGTGAAGCCATGAAGTCTCGACTCAAATGCTTTCATCTAAACACGAGTCAAATACCGTTTCTGCGGTTAACTCGCATTAAAGTGGAGGAAATGCATGAAAAACCGCAAATCGTTGTCATCCATCAGTTCCTGTCCGACAATGAGGTGGAAGTAATGAAACTCTTAGCCAAACCCAAACTCGTGCGCACCTCCACTATCAACGAGCAGACAAAGACCCATCAAATAGACCGCAACCGGATAGCAGAGGGCGGTTGGCCTAAGGACTGGGAAAATTCAGTGGTCAACACAATCAGCCAACGTATAGCTCACATCACGGGAATGGACATTAGGCTGGCCGAGGAGTACCAGGCCATTAAATACGGAGTGGGCGGCTATTATAGGCCCCATTATGACGTGTTTGTGCCCTGGGCCACACAATTGGACGCTAAGATATATGGCGATCACCTGAACCGAGTGGCCACTTGGATCAACTACCTGAGCGATGTGGACGTGGGTGGTGCCACTATATTTCCGCACTTGAATGTAACCGTATGGCCCGAAAAGGGGTCGGCATTGCTCTGGTTTAACCTGTTCAAGTCGGGTATTATAGACATGACTACTTTGCATGGGGGCTGTCCGGTGGTGATCGGCACCAAATGGATTGCCACCAAATGGATACCCGAGTTGGGACAGGTGTTCACCAAACCATGCGCTCGAGATATCGAGGAATATAATTTGTTGCAAAATATATAAATAGTTTGTAATTAAAAATAAATAAAATGTTCAAGTTAAACATATTTTTTGATTTTGAAACTTATTTTTAAACAGCTGTTTGACAGTAAGTTAATTTTAAACAGTAATGACCTCTAATTTAAAATTATTTTTATCTTTAAGTATAAACTTTTAGTAAACCTTTTGTTTTTGTTAATAATTGATTTATTTAATTTAATTTATTCTTCAGCTTAAAATATTTGCAAAAATGAATAAATGTTTACATTATATAAAAATACCAATATATTTATTATTTCTAATATGTATTACACAACAAATATATTGTTTTAATACAAATTATACAAAATTAGAGAATGTATTACTGGAAGAGATTAATTGGATTAAGGATTTGAATACATATGTGTCACTCGAGGAGCAAAGACTCATCAAAATAAGACAATTGACGGATGAGTTCACCCGTCAGAATTGGGTGGCAATGAAAGACGTGGACACATATGTGGGACATCCCATCGATGTCTACCATCTCATCAAACGGTTTTCAGTCGAATGGAAACAATTGGAAGAGTTATTAGTTTCACAGAAAAATGTTTACCAACATTACCAGGATCTCATTCTGGATCATGAATTAACAGGTATGTAAATATTTACCAAGCTACATTGTAAAAGTTTTGTTTTGAATAATTTTATTTAATTTTTAGATGCGGCTAAAGGCATGGCAACACTTGTGGACACATATAAACTGGATATCCACTCCTTAGTTGATGGACTGATCCGTATTAATGCAAACAATGTCAATGAAATTGTTATTAACAAAACACAAACAAATCAAACGTTAAATGCTTTTGATTGCTATTTAATAGGAAAACAGTCTTTTGTAAATAAACAGTACTTTAATGCCATTCAATGGTTCAATGAAACCATCATCAGAGGTGTGGTCCACGAGATGCCAACGAAGATGAAGACAGACCTATATAAGTACCTATCGATGGCTTATTATAAGATGGGGGACACAAACCAAGCGCTTCTATATATGCAGCACTCGATTGCATTGAATCCATACAATGAACACAATTCTAATTCTGTGAATCAAATCTTCGTTGAATTGTTTGTAAGTCTCTCTCTCTCTCTCTCTCTCTCTCTCTCTCTCTCTCCTTATAATATAAATTTACATTTCTTTAAGAATAAAGTGATTGAAAAAAATTCCTATAAAGTGGAAGAAGAGGAAGCAGTAGAAGAAACCGAAGAAGAA